GTTGAGGTACCTTACGTTGCTTAACCAGCGGAGGGGGGAAAGTCGCGAGGTAAATGTGGAGCGTTGTTGTGATTTCTGATTTCTTAGTCATGTTCGGCTGATGAGCTGCAGACCGCAGCGACAATGACTTCTTTGTTGTGAACGAGCGTTTCGAATGCCTCCAAAACCGTTTGGAAACACCCGCAGCCACCATGTTTGTTTCGCCGCACACCACCTCAACCACACACGTGTTATCTCCTGCTGCGTTTGCTGCACTGTGTCCTTCTCTTGCTGTGTGGTAACTCGTCCACCATCTTGCGAACACTTGCCGTGGTGATCTGGAAAGGCGTTTCTCTACGATCGTCTTGTTGATTGGGGTCTATTGGACTCCGTGGAGACGGCGCCACGTGTGCAAATAGCTACTGGGACCCGCTGCTGCTGCTGCATGAACGGCCCAGCTCATTTGGATCATGACGGCGAGAGGAAACAGGGAGGTCCACAACATCTTGTCTATCATTGTGGTGCTCTTGCCTGCGGCGTGGAGCCTCCTCATGCCACGGGCATCTTTTCCGAGCCGGTTTTGGGTTCCGAGGTGAGAAAGTTGGGTTTGTCATCAGTCATCAACAATCAAAATCTTCAGCTGGCTGACTCCTTGCTGCCAACCGACTTTCGTCTTTTCCTCTGGACGAAGCAACTGCTACTGCACTACAGTAGTGGCACGTGGTGTTTACTGCAGTCCTAGAGTACGTGGCATGTCCGGCAGCTTCTCCTATATCGAGCGCAATTCAAAGCACGCTGATACTTTCCGCGAAGGGTAAGGTCGGTGTCCATCAACTCCTCAGTGACCGTACGCTCCGAAGTTTACTTGTAGGCTTCGTTTTTTCACGTCTGGTACGGTACACTGTAGCATTCTCACCCGACCTTCTGCTGTAACCTGTAGAGGGGATCTTCTTGTGTGTGCGTTTGTTGGTATCATCGTATTTGTTGGTATCGTTTTACGCTCTCTGTCGTCCCTGAACCGTGTTTCGATTCTCGTGACGTCATCACGGCGTGCATCCTTCGGGGTAACCCAGGTACTGAGCTGTGTCCCTGCTGTTGAGCACATGACACTTCGTAATTTGGTGATATAGTATTGGTACTCGTTAAAGTTGGAGTGCCAACACCGCTTGGCCCTGCCGCTTGTTTTGACCTTCTCTTTGTGCGTAAAGACATCCGCAAGTCGCCCCCAAGATGCGATGCCATGGGCAGTGCGGCACCACTCCTGCGACTGCTCCTGTTGCCAATGCTAGCCGCGAAGCCTCGTGGGGGGTAGGTGTGTCATCGTGGGTTGCCGAAGCAACTTATTTTTCCCGATCGGCGCTACATGCATCCACTCCGGAAGGGATAGGGGCTTGGTGGAATGGCAGCAGCTCAGCAGGCGGGGGCTCCGCCGGTGGTGGCGGCAACAACGGCACCGACGGGGGCACTTCAGCAGGGGGCGCAATGGGAGAAGGAGACGACGGCAAGCGGGCCTCGGATATGAATGCGTGCAGCACTCAGCATCGAGATAGGGGTGAAGGGGCGTCCCCAACGGTCGAGATGAGTGGTGGGGCGTCGAAGAAGAGCGCACGTTTCGGGCCGTGGGTGTGGCTGTCGGCGATGTGGGGCATGTACGCGGCGTGGCTGAGGAGATCGCCGTTGGTGGCGAAGGCGGTGACGTCGGGGGTGTTAGGTCTCAGCGGGGATATGGCGGCACAGTTCTTCGAGTTCCAGCAGAAGGCTGAAAGTGGACGCCGAGGCCCATTCTTGAAGGTGAATGGGTCGCGCTCAGTTGGAATGTCGACGTGACCGTTGACCTGTTGCCTAGCGTGTTTCAGGTCACACGGCGGATACAGTTTTCTTGCCGTGAGCATGGCAGATAGTCTTCGGAAGTTGAAGCCAGTTCTCGCGTTATGTCTAGGAATGAAATGACGGTGCACATGACTCCACACACTCGAACCTGTTAAGACCGGAGGGAAAAGGGAATACTCATCGCATCGCTCAAAAACTGCTGTTAGGCCTCAAGGTTAACCCATAAAAATAAGAGCATAACAACCACCCAAGAGAAATACATGTTCTTCTTCATGCCTCGGTGGCCGAATATATGATGCAATTGATTTAAAATTAAAGCGGGGGCACGAAACTCTGGCTCCAGCTGGAGAGTTGAATCGTCATACGTACTTCGCGGCACTTGGTTATAGGCCATACTCGAGGAATCTTCAGGACCACACTTTTCCTCCGTCGTCTCGAAGGCCGAGAACATACGGATTTTTGAGTGCTTTGGTGCGTCACTGGAGTTTCTCCCTTCAAGCAACAAAATATGCTCCTGGTGATCACTACCTTTGATTTCTGTGCATGTTTCTGTGCACACAGCACAAAAACCGCATCCCATTCCAAGGTGCTTCTGTCTAGGGGCGCGTCCCCCCGTTTGGGCTCTCATGGGCACAAGTTCTAGAGATGATCGCCCCAAAAATCAAGGCCGAAAAATATACGAGCGGATGCTTTTTTTCAAGCTTTCGTTGGTTCCTGGGGCCTTCTGGGGGCGCACCGGAGACACAATTGGACATGCGCACGAAGGTCCTCGAGGACAACGACTTCCTTGCCTTGCAGCTAGAGTGCGGAGCCCACGCCCAGACACTGAAAAAGGTAGCCACGGCCAAGCGGTGTCGACATTCGTTGCTTCGAAACGGGGGCACATGACACATCTTGAAAAAAAAACTAGCATTCCGAAAATCACACTTCATATTCGAGCTTGGCTTCACCGTTCTCCTGCCATCTCCAAGCTGCCACGGGTGATCCTGAGCACATGCGCCGCTAGCCCTGCACACACTGATTCTAGGAAGCTATAAACGTTACGTTTCCTCGATGAATTGGTCCCGATATGTGCGTGAACGTGTTTTCGTGGAAGCAACAGATTGGGTCTGATTTGGCTGGAGAAGCGGCTGCAGGCTCCAACTTCCAGCTTTTCCGAAACCACGCTCGCATTCGTTTTGAGACCAATTCATCAAGGGCGAACGAAGTAAAGTGCTTCCGAGAATTAGTGTGAATAGGGCTAAATAGTGGCGCATGTGCTCAGGATCGCCTGTGGCACATTGTGGGCGGCGGCATAACAGAAAGAAACAGTGCCTGGAACTGCCTCTGATGATACCGACTTTTTTTCGGTCTATTTTTCCTCCACTCTCATGCGCATATGTATGTTCCGACTTGCTGCTGCTGTGAACGCATACGTGTGCATGCGTTGGTGCTCCAGCTGATGGGCTATACTTGTTCGCCCGATACGAAAGTGTAGTGCACATTATCCTTAGCGGGTGGTCCGTGGCTGCGTGTGTTGTGTGTAGTGCACGTATGATAGTACGCTTTGGTGTTGCTGACGAAGTTTACAGTTGTTGACAAAGTTTACAAGTGGAGTCGTTTTTTATTTGCATTTTGGTGACGTAGCCACCTGTTTGAGGGAGCGTTGATTGGTCATTTCGAACTGGCTCTAGTCTGTTGGGCTACCGAACACGGACACTTTTTTGTCCCCAAAAAATGTAATCTTGATGTCCATGTGTGTGTTGTTGTAGACTGTGACAGCAACACGATGCAGAGCTTTTGGTCACCAACCAACATTGACGGTGGACCGCATCTGATTTCGCAACGCAACACTGACCCCCCGTTGCAAAACGTCATGTGTACTGTACGCAAGGCCAGTCCGCCGTCCATATTGGCCTCTCCTGGATGCTACTTCTGTACGTTCAGATCCGTGCCATAATGGCAGCAGGATACTCGCCGCCTACATCGGCACCTCTGCTTTGGGCATTTACGCAAGAATCACATGTTGCTGGGTACCTGTAGAGGGCAGTACCTTGAAGCTGACCGTGGTTGTGCGTTGGGTCGCTTGATGCGCATGAAACGCACCCCAGTAACGTCATATGCATTGTCCACATCGCTCGTAAGACCTCCCTGCACGTAACATTCTGTGCGACGTATGGGGGAGTTGAGCAGAAACTTCGTCTGGTGCAAATCGTCCCAACATACAAACCCACCTCTCAGTACTCGCGAAGGCAAGGCGCCAATTCCTGCCTCCCCTTGCTGCCTCGCTCACCATTCCTCAGAACACCCGCCGATTAACCGCCGTGGCGATCGATAGCATACTCATCACTGGCCCGGCGCTGCACGCGCTTTACGGGTTGCTGGAATGCCTCATTCCGACGGCGGCGGGAGGCTTCGTCCCTGCCGCGTTGCACGTAGTAATCGACACCTTCGTCTTCGACCCGATGTTTGTGGCGTCGTTTTTCTGCGTCACGGGAATGCTTGAGAGCCGATCTCTCAGGAAAAGTATCCTGCCGGCCTTGCGGAGGTGAGACAACGGAGGGTGTGCTTGCCGACTTGTACTTAGGTACGGGCGAAGGCGCCTTTTCTTTCGTGGGTTTTGCTGTCGTCATCTACAAGTGGCGCTATGTCGCGTGTTTTTTCGGTGCTCGAGTCTGGTCGCTTTGAACACCCTCCTTACCGTTGTTCTGTTCCAGGTAGAAGGCAGCAGGCTTATTTCCCCACTATGTTCAGCGCTTGAAATGTTAGCGTATGACAGACCCGGATCCGTAGCGTATGGGCTTTGGGTGTTCAGTGAGAGGATTTGAGGGTGTACCATGCAATGTACGTGGCACTCTTGTGCGGAACGCGCGGCGTGTTCTTCAGAAAGGCTTGAAACTCCTGGATCGAAAATACCTCTTGAAGTGTTGTCTCGTCACAATTGCAGATCACCCGACCACCACTTGCACGCCCGATGCACCAACGCGTCCGTTCGATCGCATAACACAGAGAGTTCTGGCCAGCGGTGCAAGGATCATGGCTGGTGTCCTTATTGTTCTGCCCTCTCCAGTTCGCCACTTTCCGATACCTCCCCCTAGAATTCCGGGTACTGTCAGTTAACGCGTGCGACATCGCTTGGACCTCCGTCATGAGCTACTTCAGCCACAAGGCGGTCCCTACGGAGGGAGGTGTTGGACTGAGGTCGGTTGCAAACCAGCTATAGGGGGCGGAAAGGGGCCGTCAAAGCAGCAGCGCTAGTTTGAAACGCAGGCAACATGGTTAGAGCGGTGACAAAGGAAATCGAGGTGGCAGAGGTCCCGAGCGATGAATGGCAATAAGGGCGAAGTCGAGTGGTTCCATAGCCCATGGCATCGTACGTGTTTTGGGACGACGGTAGTCGTGAACCGTTGCATTGTTAGTCCCCTCAAATTTTACATTCGCCCCCCTAGAGGTCGTGTTGATGCCATCGGGTCGACAAATGCAGCAGGAGCGTCGAGTTTTGTCGTGAGAAGCTGTGTAATATCCAATTTTGTTGTGTCACGTTTGTAATCCCCGCGATACATTCGTCTAGCAGCTGCAAGTGCCCGCAGCAACCCTCCTTGTGTGATTTGTATAGTTTTGTCCAACCCCAGCCGTTATGGCCCTATTGGAATCACCGTCATGCCAATAAGACATGTGTGTAAATAGTTCGTGTACTGTAGAATGCATATTCCAGCCTACCATAAAATATTGAAAGAACCTCGAGAAGATCGATGGTTTTCTTGTCGATCGACGAAAGGGGAGTTGCAGTTTTGCACCTTGTAAGTAAACCCGCGAGAAAATTTTGCTACATTTCGTTAGGAGTTCCAAGGGGGAGAATATGTTTGCACGTTCCACAGGAGAGAACGCATCCAATTTCAAACAATTGGGAAAACGGTATACACTCGAGCCTTGCTGTAGCTGAGATTGGCCAAGCGCTTGCCTTAGGAGCGAAACGCATCGGGAACTCAACTTCAAAATTGACGTAATCTTGGACGGGTACGTCCTCCGAAACCGTCGGCCACGGTTCAGTTCCAATACCAACATGAGCGTGAAATTGGTTACGCTCTCGACGGCGCGATGGTGAGACTTTGGGCCAACTTACTTGTTACCGAGTCCTCCGCGGTGCTTGGTTTATGACATCATTGACACCAGACACATTAATGGTGGTGGTGCCAACGAGAAGCCCCATCAAACCAGCGACGGTTCACCAGAACTCTGCCTTGCGATCACGCCCCGCGGAACCAACTTGCGATGTTGTGCAGTTCAGACGCACAGGCCGTGCTCGCAACAGCGCCATTTTGTTTCGCGTGAAAACTGACCCCGGGATACGGCGGTAATGCAAAAGATGATCCAGTCATAGACTATTGGTTGCCTCCCTACTCCATGCCGACACGTTGTCTCTACATAACTCCAGCTTCTTGTACCAAAATAGTGCAATCGTCTGAAACGACCTCACCCTGCGTTCAAGCCTGTGTGGCTACCACCAGGCTTTGGCACCAGTGCCGTCACAATTTTTTACCTGTACATTGTAGAATACCCCAAAGGCACAGCGCCACGCCCCTTCCCGACCAAAAGAACGATTGCCCACATCATGTAGGAGAGAGCCACGTAAGCGTGACTGTTTACAGCAAGACACCGTTCCCGACACAACCAGGCTGAGGCCATATCAACAGAACGTGTGTCGCGTCACCAGGTGCATAGGCACGGCCATGCACCTGAGGTGCACCTGAGGTGAAATGAACACTTACAACCAAGTACGACACCGGTCATCGATTTACACCCCTGTTGGGCGGAGGGGAAGACTGCGTCTTTTCTTGGGCCGCCTTCCACTTTGCTTCCGACTCCTTGAGCTTCTGCAGCCGGCTCTTCTTCCGTCCCTCCTGTCAGTGCCACGTAAAATGCCATGCATCGCAGATGAGCTCGACAGCTGTGATCTCGCGCAACACAAGCCTGGGCTGTTTGATCAAGCTGAAAGATACGCATGAAGGGCATGGTTGCGAAACGTTCGCCCTACAGCAGTCGCACAGTGATCCGCACGACGAGCGAAAAGTATAACTGTTGTGTCATGTGCAATCATCAGGCGGATGCCCAACAGGCCACGCGGAAATAATAGCTATACATACGTTGCTGTTTCACTGGTTTCTTTCGGCTACGGCTACAGTAGCTTCGTACGATAGTGCCGAGAACGTGTTCGTAGGAGAGACACGGGCAATTGCTCACTGGGGAAACCAACTCACGGCAATAAAAAAAAACCATCTCGTGTAAAGTCGTTGAATGTAGGATCGCATCTCCGCGTGTGACCATTAAGCAGAGAGAGAAACGGTCTTTTCATCGGGTTATGCGCGTGTTCATATGCACATCGCTCCTCTGCAAAGGGATGCTACTGCTGTTGTTTCTGCCGCAGAAGTCTTGGCGCCAATTGTGCACGGCACGCTGCAGGCAACGTGCTTGGCTGGAAATTTCGGACATCAGTCTTATGGGCTCCAAAAAGCAATGTTGGACGACCGCGCGACGTGCTTCACCAGACACAAGAAATCGGGTTCAAAGAGACACCACCGACATCAGTCACAGCGTAAAGGGTGTCGGCTTTGCTCAGAGTGAAGATGTAATGTGTGAGTAAACCCTCCCCTAGAGAGTGTACAGCAGTCACTGCCGGGTCGGCCTTGCTCGCCACTCACGAGCATCACCGACGGTCCTGGATAAGAAACTCACGAGTGTTTCTATCCGGCGTGTGCAAGGATGCACAAGCAGTGATCTACGTTTTCTCTACAATTCCTCTTTTCCGTCGGGGGCTCGGCTTTCACGTGCAACTCGGTCGGTATTCCAACAGCCGGATAGCATGATCCTGATTGTTGCGTGATGGCGACAGCAGTAGGGGGGGGGGCGGTGTGTGCGTGAACGTTCTGCCTTGTAACAGGGACTTCACATTTCTGGGGGCAACCATTGCAACCCATGGCCAAATATCTTCTCGTGGTCTTTGATGTCCCTGGGTGCCGCAGATCTTCAGTCAGAGTAGTCAAGATCGTACGGGAGGTAGATATTTGATAGGCATGAGGAATGTCGATGCCGTTTGGCAAAAATACGAAGTACTGCTGTACGTGTATGTCGGACGAGGGACTCAAGTCGGTACTCACGTAGTATTTTGTGGTCTCCGCCTGGTGCGTCTTGGAGCGTTGCGCAGAGGACAATTTGCTTCCCATGATGCGGTCAAGAAGAGCCGGAGAGGCGGAAGAAGTGGCGATCCAGTTAAATACCAACAGCCAAGACAGCCAACGCCGAACCCAGCCAGCGGTTGAACGTTGGGAAGAGCAAACACCTTGGCAGGCACAGCACACAGCACAAAGCACACAGCACACAGCAGACAGAGCCGAGAAGAGTTTTGAGGGGCTCCGCATGATGGATGCTGTGGGCGGGTTCGTGGGTTGGGGGTGTATGAAGGGGGAGCAGTGGCTGACCCGAATGCCAACCACTGCTGTAGTGTAGTACTCGACCATGCTGACACGACTCGGAGCGAAAGGCGTGTGATAGAAGAGAGCATAGGGCGTGGAGGAATCAGCGCTGTCCGAGCGGGTGAGATTTATTAACAAGGGAGACTAATGCTGTAGTTGAAGCTGGGGCAGAACACCGGACACACTAGTGTTCTCATCAGCACCGCTAGAGTCAGCACGTAGGTCAGCACTGCATAGAACCGCAGATCACTAGCAGCCACAGAGACGTTCACACCACTCCAATTCGCGGGCCGTCTACTTCATCAGCTTTGCACACATTGGCCATCTACATCTCTATAGGTCCATCTGTTAGCAAGGCGTCGGCAAGCTTGGCAAGTGCGGGAGAACCTCCCCCATCTTCACAGCCACCGATGCGGACGAACAGCCCGTATTTTTCTGTTGTTTTAGCGTAGTCTACGCGTGGTTACCAAGCAGCAGGATCTTGGCCTTGAAAACAAGACTGGCACGGGTTTCACCATGCCGTGTTATGGTAGTTGGGTGGAACGTTCAACTCTCCCCCACGTCGGCATGGATGGGAGGAAGCTCACACCTTGAGGAACTGAGGAACTGCCAAATATTTTTTGATGTTCCGACTGAGGAAAAAGTCCGAGGCCTCAAAAGGCAAACAGACCGACAAACCCATGATGCCTCCAGAATAATCGGTGAGAACGACTCTGAACCATCTACGGTGCGTATTTGGTCTTCGCGAAAAGCTAGAGCTGTCGTGGAGGTGCCTGGGAGATCGCTTACGTATCTGTGTGGGTAGGGTTGGCAGGGTCGACGTTTTTTTCAGGGATGCGGTTTACTGCGGTACCCGTAGTTGCCCGTAACACCTTCCAGACGTATGCAACTAGTTCCATCCCACGTAACTTTTGCGGTAACTTGGGAGTACCCCCCCGCCGTAGCTGCCAGCCCCCCATGGCTGCAGCTCACACTCGACGCTTGGGGCAACGGGGCGACCCCCGACAGATTGAATACTCTATCACAGTATCAAGAACATCACTTAACGCTGCTGCAGGTGGGAGCAGGTTGAAGCTGTAAGAACACAAGAATGTCTAACGCACGCAATATACACGTGAACGCGTGTACGCGTGTTCACAAGGAGGACTCATGTCAACCCCTGAATCCCGTATCTCTACCTGCCGTAATCGCCTTTGTGTCCTACTTCTACGGTGTTTAGCACCCCATGTGGTGTTTAACAACCCCACACGGTGTTTTAACACCCCGGGGCCGACGAGATTTCGTTCCCGGTATGCTGCCGTGTTTACGCGTACGTAACACATTTCTTTGATTTCCCGTGATTACGGATACGTACCGGCCGGGTACGGCCGTAACCCGCATCCTTGCACACTGGGGTAGACAAGAAGAGTTGGTACAAGCAGTGCAACACCCGCCCCTTTCCCTCGAAATTGTGCATTTTGGAGACCACCACGTGTGACAGGGCACAACCACTGAACACATCATTCCGATGCATGGAAAACATGGGCAGGGCCCATATACAGCATAAACACCAACTTTTACCGACTTTCGGTCGGGCGCGTCTTCACGAACAAGGCGGCAACAGGTGCCCGATTTTTGTCGGCATTTCCGGTGCGTACGCCTACCTAAATCTTCTAGACTAAAGAACTAGTGCATGTAGCACTATTTTGATGTACCAACCGTTTTCGGCTGTGTGACCCACCTTTGTCCGGCGAAATGCACTTTTGTCCAGTTTCTTCGTTGGAAAAATCGACCTCCACGTCATCGGCACGGGGGAACTGTTCGAACGAAAAAATCGGGCAAAAGTGGGTACATTTCGGACAAATCGGGTAACACGTTGAGGCCTTACGTGCCTCGGCGGTGTAAAGGGTGAAGACGTGCCCGAAATCCTGTAAACGTTCATGTGCATGGGCCCTGCCCATGTTTTCCATGCATCGGAATGATATGAAGTGGTTGTGCGCTGTAACGAGTGGTCTCCGAAATGCAGATTTTCAAGTACCCACTTGTGTCTTGAGGAAGGAGCGGGTAGACCCACTTTCGTCCGTTTCCCTTTTTTGTGTCATTGGTGATGTTTGATTTTGTGATTCTTGGAGAATACATGAAGCGTTGGCAATTTTGGAGCAACCCCCGTCCGAGGCCAGCTTCCAAGACTTCGTGTGCACTGTGTATCATGTATTCTATGCATACCTATCTCCGGAGACGCGTGCCGCGAAGTCCTTTCGCCAGCTTTGCGAATCTTGATTGAAATGGGAAATTACACCGTGCCTCTGCCAAAACAGATAGATGGCTGGCCTACGGACACCTCGGTGACAGCTTCAACTTTGTCGCAAACCGAACGGTGTTTCGGAGTCGTTCGCGGCGCAGACAGCCCGAACAGCAGTGGTAAACGCAATGGCCAACATGTTTGGACGAAGAGTTCTACGATATGGTTCTCCAACACGGGCACAAGTCGATAAAGTATGCAGATGTGAAGAACATGTGCGGGATGAGGCACTCGTCGGAACCGCAGAAAGGCTTTTATCATGGAATACTGTAATAGCTGGTGTCGACGGGCTCCCGGGCAGCACGAGCGTTTCCTCTCCCCAAGACGAGGGACTGATGAGCTCACAGAATAACGGACGGAAGGGCTGTTGGTCTATCATCCATCCGGAAAACTCCTTCGTTGATCCTATCCCAGAGGATCACCCCTCGCCCAGTCTACGCTCAATCCAGGCAGTTAATTCTTCTCGCTGGCCTATTGGTCGGCCCGATACCGTTTTCCCGCTCCGTCCGAATTTTGCGACTCCTGCACGGCCCAGGCTCGGCTGCTATGTTCAGTGCATCATCCTCCGTTCGTAGCGACACAACGAAAACTACCAAGACTGGCAGCGAGAGAAAGCGGCGATGGGCGGTCTGTGCGGCGAAGGTGAAAGCAGGGGTGCTGAGAGCGAACACGTTCGTCACCAGTAGTGACAGCGAGAGCTGCAGCGGTAGCAGCGAGAGCGAACACGAACGTGAAGGTGACATCGACAAAGGGTCCGACTCAGGGGTTCAAGATTGTGGGTCCCGCCCTCATTCTCTTAAGGTGCGATCCCGTTGTTTTTGCAAGAAACATGACACGGTCGTTTCTTCGCGCAGCTCGTAAAGTGCAGTTTTACGCTACATTTCAGTGTCTGGAATATTGCGAGAGCACGTGTGTTACGGTCAAACACCCTTATGTCGCCTGGTGCTTTACATACGACTTGTGTTTTTTGTTGCTCACTTGGACAGCATCAGCATCAAAATGGCCGTTGTCTCCGTGTGATCTCCCGTACGGACTGGCCATAGTTGCTGGGATCGATACGTTCTTGATCACATTTGACACTCCCAACAATCCGCGCTTGTCCCTTACCGACAAAGGTTCCTGCTTGGCATGCGCCAGTATTCTTAGCTGACCTTCGTTGACCTTTCCTGCTGTTGTCCCCCACACCCGACATGTACACGTTGAATCTTTGGTGGGTTGCCCAGAGGGCTCCTTCTATGTCATTTCCCTGCACACTTGACCTCGCCGCACAAGTACAAGCTCGAGAGATGCCCGACTCAGGAGCTGAACCGAGTGTCGTGTGCCCTAGACCATGTGGTGATGCGGTGACGATTCTCAACGGCGCTACCAGCACAGAGGGCGGGAGAGTTATCATCGTTCGAGACCGCCCCGACCAAGCCGCCCGAGATGACGTGGAGGCTGACACGGACGTAGCGGCTGAAGCCGATTCGGGCGCCAATATTGGTGGTGGTGCTGCAGATACACCGGTGTGTTCGCCGCCTGATGCGACCGTGGACGCGCTCGTCGATCCGCTCTCGCTTGCCCGGGAGGCCGGGGAAGGAGAGGGTGCGGGGGAGGAAGAAGATTACGCGTTGTGGGAGCTGTCTTCCTCAAGCGAGGAGAACAACGCGCTCTCACCGACACGGTACGTCCCACCAGGGATCTGGGAGTAAGTCTGAGCTGGCTATGCATGTTCCGCGGGAAGAGTGTACGGTATTTTCGGCGTGTTCGCGGCGCAGGGTGCCGCTTTGGCCGTAGCACCATCGCCGTATACGTTCATTTCTTTTGGACAGCGTCGGTATTGGGGTCTATAGAAGCCGAAGTCAATCCATTAGACTAGTTAGCGCTGACCAGTCTAATGGTTTGATTTCGGCTATTAACGTTATTCGTGGAATCGAGACACAGGCTGGACACTTCGAAGTGTTTTTTTCCCTGAGACCCTGGATACTCCCTGCCAGAGTATGGGTGACGGAAGTACTCGTGGGCCCTGGAACATTCTGCAGGATGTGGGTGGCGAGCGATATGAAGCTAAATAAATATTGGACGGATAGTAGCGCTGGCAAGGGGAGTCACCTTCCTCGGAAGTGAAAGTGACGGGGCTCACGAACCCCACCACTATCTTGTATAGAAGCCGAAACGCTGACCAGTCTGATGGGTTGATTTCCGCTTCCATAGGTCGTCATGCAGCCAAAGCGGCGTCAAAGTACTTCTCTCTCACGTAGCACTGTCACATACCCCGAAGCCAATTGATCATTGTGTCTACGTCCGCTACAGCTCCTGCTAATCAACGTGCCCCGTGTGCCGCTTTCGCCTTCCCCATTCAGGCCGAGATCGACGTCGAGATCGAGGGTGAGGCGGAGAGATGGCGGCCGAGAGAATGGACACGGACACGATAAGTCCCCCCCGCGCGCAATTTCGTCGGCCCAACAAGTGCTTCCGGAGTCGCCGGGGTCGTATGTCGCGCGCATGAGCCGAATCTTGGCTCACGTGCGGCAGACCACGAGCCCAAGCGCGTCTGCGACCAATAGCCCGGCTCCCGACAGCGGGAGAAAGGTATTCGGCCGCCCCTTGGGAGGTTCCTCTTCCGGCAGCAACGAAATTGCTGTCGGGGGCGAAACTACTGTCGGCGGCGAGACTGTCGCTCCGGTCGAGGACTGCTTGGAAGATTCCGAGATGGTTGAGCAACAACAGCCCGGCATTAGCGCTGTCGATAGGACGGAAACATCACCGTCGGAGGGGCTGGGTATCGAGCACCGGCGCTTGGGAGGGGCCGTGGGGATAAATCAGAAGCCAACGGCTCCGGATCAGAAGCGATGGCAAGGCGGGAGGGTGTTGGAGGGGGCAAAACTTGGTGAGGAACATCGTGGACTCGTCTACCACGAACAGCAGCCGGAGAACCGCGGCGATCTGGAGGTCATGATTGCGGCAGTCTCGGCAATGGTCGGGATGACCGTGCCCAAGCAATACCAGTGGATCCTATGGATCGGGTGCTGCGCGATTACGGTGTGGTTCCCGTTGCGGCGACATTTCCGGTGGCGGTTGCGGCGGGGGCCGGATGCTTCGGCGTGGCAGCAGCCGTCGCGGGAAGTCCTCATTGATGCCGGTGACGGTCTAGACCCACCTCCGCCGTACGACGATATCGATATCGATGTCCATGTCGATGGTGTGGACGTTGGTGGCACGGGAGTTCTCCCGACGGCAGGTGGACCACCAGCACCTTCCCACGAAAATATAGACGGTAGAACTGGAACACCGATGTTCCGTGGCGACTCAGAGAAAAGTATGGAGGCGGGGGAGGGTGTAGGTGAAAGCAGCGGTGTCTTGGGCGGGGGGGAAAAGCCCGAGGAAGAGCTCGAGGAACGGTACCAGCAACTGCTGGCAGGCCTGTCGAAGAAAGAGCTAGAGTTTGTCGAATCGGCTGGAGATGAGGAGAAAACAAGGCTGCTACAGCAGGTGTGGCAACTGCACCAGTAGAGGTACCGCATTCTCTGCCGTAGGGCTCTCAGGAGGTAGGATTAGTTGGTTGCCTTCAAGACGCTTTCATCAATCAAACTCGTCCTCGTGGAGCGAGCGACGAAGGCAGCACTTTAGTGATGTGGTGGTTTCACCGCAGAGCCGAGGGGACGTTGTGTTGGGCACCACGGCATGGGAGGCCCACTTTCCCGAGCAGACGGGACTGATTTTCGGAACCCCCTCCGAATATATGCTCCACGTTTGTTCAAGTCGATTATCGTACTGTGCAACTTGGATTGCGCTCCTGTGTGGCATCGTGGCTTGGGGGGTACGGTCGAATTGGTTAGCCCCTTCATTCCATCGCCTCCCCCATCCTGTCGACTTTGCCTGCTTTGTATACCCCATTTGTGAGAAACAAGAATGAAATATTCAGCATTATTTGTGGAGGCACACCCTTCCTAACTCGCGAGAAGAACCCTGACGCGGGGGGTCAATGGGTACAGGAAGTGTCATGGAGGTTTTTCATTGCTATGCTTTGCACCGCCTTGAAACGCTTGTGTTTCTTGTCGTTCTCGTCCTTGCTCGAAATTACTACATTTTCTGTACTGTGCTACCCATGCTGAAGTGCTTGGAGTACGCGAACTACGACATGGCAGGGGCTGTCAAGGTGTGTAGCACTTTCTGCAAGTTTAGACTCCAGGAGGGTTGGGACCTGGTGCTCTCTGCTCGAGAGCTGGAAACTCCTCTCCGAAGCAGGGTGCACACTTTGACGACGAACAGAGATAGGTGAGAACATATCAGCAACATCGTATTGAGACCCTGCAAACTACGGCCCTTGGCCGTGGGCGTTGGCACGTCTCTTCTGGTTTACACGAAGGCGTCCGTGCGTATTCTTCTCTGGATGATACTGATACGAAGAAGGTCTTGATGTTCGAGGGTTCGCCGGTTGCCATTTCTTTTATGTATATAGTCGCTGCAAAAGTGCCCTTCTTGGTTCGCTCGTTTCGTCGAGTCCTCAAAGGATGCGCCGGAGACCAAAGCACACAACCTCTTGGACAGATAGCCTCTTCTGTCCGATCTTGACGTCGTAAAGCCGCCCTGGTCCCTCTTGTCGCAAATTGCACAAGTCCGACTTGTCAAGTAATACTCAGCAGCCCTTTCTTCCCAAAATCAAACACTCACCTAAAAATAACAAGTCCTCACAATGATTGAGTAGCAGCAGGTGGATTGCTGACAAGTGATGCTGGTTGCGGGCGAACATGTTTCGACGTAACCAGCATCACCTTTCAGCACTCGGCCTACTGCTGCCGACAACATCGCGAAGACGAATACCACTTGTTTTTTCTAGGTGGTTTGTTGGGCATTGCATTACTTGACAAGTGGGAGTCGGGGAGTTGCATGAAGAGGGAATTGGCGGCAAGATGGGACAGAAGAGGCTAACCGCAAGGTTGTTTTCTTCTTGTGGTTTCAACCACATCTACGTATGTGCCCACACCTGTATCAGTGGACCAAGAACTACACTACTGGAGGAAGATTGTATTCCTCGGGGTGCGCTTTTCGCAAGGTTATGAAGCGGTGATACCTTGCCGCGGTATCAACTGCCAGCTGCTCACACCAGCGAAATGTTTGTGCTTCTTGTATTTGGAATATTTGTTGCATTGTTAGACTCGAGTACATTGCTCCCAATGTTGGTTATTCTCCGCAGCCTTGATAGCGCTCGCTGCGAGGGCAAACGGAGCTTTGGTTGAAGAATCGAGAAGGCGATGTGGTGTCCGTCCGATTGGTTTTCAAGTTGATGACACATGTCGGCCACTCGGCACACGGAGCCAACCGCGGCGTCATCAAGAGATGAGTGCGGCGCGGCCGAAAATAGCTGCGACGTACCAGTATTCTTTACGTCACAGCAGCGTTGACACGACAGGGACAACTTCTGGAAGAATCGGAGCACTCAAACCGACTTTGATGGCAGTTTCAGCGTGGGCAACAGGCGCGTTTTCGCCAAAGGTAACCTCTACTGTGGTCAGCTACGAGAGCAATGTGCGTCCACTCCCCGGACGAGGGACGAGGTGTGTGTCTCAACACCTAAACTAACACCACCACTGTTTTTCTCCTTTCCATCACCAAACAAATGCCTCATCAGGACTGGGCGAGGGGTGCTGACGTTCTCTCCGGGTAAATTGGACATGGACAAGGCCCCGCCGGCCGCTTACCACAAGATGCTCTGCTACGTCTTGCAAGAGGTGCGACAAAACGTTCGGTGAAGGATATTTTAGTCATGGGGAGCACATCCGAGCGCAACCGTTTTTGCTGGTTAGGTGTTGTTGTTGGTCGTTCGCAGTGTTGGGGTTATCTTGGCAGAATTCCTACATTTGTCATTGATTACCCTCACAGTCGGAAGGACAGCAACCCTCGTGGCTGGGTACTCAGCAACGGTTCACGGCAGGGCTCCCCTGTTCTGTGTACGCCATCTAGATGCACGCCTCCATTGGAATACGTCTTGTTGTCCCTGGTATCGTGGCTCGCATGCTACTGGTTTTCTCACGGTCTCCTCGCCTGGTTGCGGTGACACTTTCACCAACTCGGGCCCAAATATGCTGCAGTGTCCCAGGGTTGCACGCCATGGTGCAGCGTTTTGCAGCGAGTGCCTCCTTCACATTGAAGCGTGTCGTATGATGAACAGCAGCTGGTCATGTCTGGACTCGGACAGGTTATTAAGGATAAAGAGCTGCAGACAAAGGGTCTCGTTCTTCTTGTCGACGCAAGGGGCGTGGGCTTCGGACTACTGAGGCGCTTTACTCGTGAGTCCACCCGCACGTTAGTGTTGGCTAGATTTTGTTCAAAGATTCTCTCGCCTCTGTCGGACCCCAAGTTTGTCGTACAGACCATACTTGTGGTGTTGTTAAGTGCACTGATTCACTGGGTCTTTACCACTTAGCTTCAAATGTTGTTTGTATTCTCGATTGGTCCTGGCACTTTTTGTTTTTCTCCCATCATTGGACTCTGCCGTCTGCCCCTCTGGCCCCTATCCTCCACTTCTACCAGCTAGACGACCCAACAGGGGTCACATAGGAGGGGGGGGTTGGACCCCATACGTGCATGGCCAGAGTTTGGCGCGGTACGTCGTAGATACCCATACCACCTCATGCCTTTTACCCCTTCCCTAAAGCAGCAAATGTGTTTTCCTTCTCTTCGAGTGAATGCACTTGTGGATCAAAACGCCCCATCGATCGCCGGTAAGCCTCCTGTTATTCTCAAAAGACGGTTGGCCGCAAACAACATGCTATCTCGTGATATATGAACACGAGCCAATATGTTGAACGAGTTTTGAAACCGGCGTAAGAACCCTGCGCTAGAAGCAGCGCAAGATGTACTGTTCTAGAGTTGATGCTGATGGTAGCAACGAGCGCATACGCGGGCAGCATGCGCAAGACGTTTGGGGAGTACTGCGGAAATGATGCAACCGCAAGAACTGAAGGTGCGCTCAATGTTTTGTTTTTGCTGCAGTGGTGGACTACAAGAGGGGACTGCGCATGCTAGGCGGGGCCTTTCCAGCGAAGGTCAAAGCTATTCGCATCCTGCACCTCAACCGAGTCATCCGCTTCGCTCTCTCCATCGCCATGCCGCTTCTCTCGGCAAAGATGAGGGCCAGGCAAGTAGAACTCGCTGTAATGATCGCGTACGCTCTCATCTCCCTCTTTGTCATGCGCACTGTGGAGCGTACAAGTGTGAGACTTGAAATGAAGGCGGGGCATAAGAGCTTGGTCATTTGTCTGTTGACCATTGTGCCTAGGGAGCAGGCCCCCGAGCACGCCTTCGGTGGTTCTGGGGTTCGGGGGTATGCTTGGAAGCGTAGCCGGAACAGGGGCGTTGTCGATTGATGTCACGTGACGTATTCTGAGCCATGTGCTGATGCGGCTGGTGCCGAACACACCGGAAAGGCGCGGGAATGTGGGAAGTATCGCTAACTTGGTATCGTGATCGTTGAATGACTTTGTTCGGCGTTTTCCGCAGTGTAAGTTTGTCGATTTCGCACAACCTGGGACAGCAGTTGGAACCAGTTATTCCCTTAAGGTTTACCGCGAGTTCATTCGTAGACTTGTTGGGAGCATGAGGGTGCTGTGGGCGAAGCAGGCATTTGTGTCGGGAATGCGTAGAATTCACCGGGTGTTTTTGCCGTACATGTCAATCCGGTGCCTCATGCCGGCAAGTGTCCTGCCGTACCGATGAGACACGCGGCATCCTATGGGCAACGCAAAGTTCACCTTCCCGCATTATTCATGTTGCACATTCGTGCGCGGCCGCAGGCTGTTTTGTTGGGGGGCTCTTCGTTACCGCAGTAGACCAAAAGTGTTTTTCTGGTATGTATGGAGATTGGTCAGCCCACCAACTTCTATTTTTGCGCACCCTGGCTATTGTTGCCTCTTCGTTTTGTGAGCAGGGTGGAGTTCGTCACCGACGAAAGGGCCAGCGATGGGAGCTTCACTAAGGAGCTGGCAGACCCGTCCTCAATACCGGTGGAGCTGGGCATCAAAGGGACCTGGACCGGATCCCATGACTTTTGGGATGAGTGGGTTGGACGGAGGGTTGCTGAGCATGAGTCCGAACGGTAGTGTTTTCATGAGGGTTAGTTAATGTGGCATCTTGGGCCTATTTCTAAATTTGCAAATTTCGCGTCGTTTATGTTCAGGGCTCGTTAGGGCGACGTTAGACTTGGCGCTATGTCCGCTGTGCCTCGCGGTCCTTTTCAGAGAACCTGCTCTGGCGCCTTCAAGAGACCACTGTATTTTGGAGGAATCAGTAGATTTTGGAAGTGAAGTACGGGACGGGCATGGAATGGTCAAGTGCAAGTGCTGAGACTCAACAGACCTCCGGTTCTAAACAAATGGTGGCCAGTTCTCAAACCAGCTGGGTGTGATGTTGGAGCAGTGCGACATGTCAGATATGTGCAGAGTAACTGAATCGGGGTCGACATGCGCTTGAGGGAGGTGACAGGTGCTCGGGGGTATTCCTGTTTAACAAAATCATGCTTTGACGTGTTTTGAACGCTGAATGCGTTCACACGATAGTTTTGCTGCCCCATGAGTGCTTCGGGTCACTCCCTACCCCCCCCTCGCGTGCTCGGGAAGAAAAAACGATCTTGTGTTCTGTTAGGCTTGCTCTTTGTTTCTCCTAGTGTATGTGCGGCATTGCCTCCGCGATATATCGCGGGTTGTGTATTTTCGTTTTGTGTACTGTCGCGTTCCAGTTAATAGTTGCCGAGAATCTAAAAACATCATGTACAATAGCCAAATGCTGCGCGTACTTGGGATTGTTCAACATTGCCAGAACTGCACCGATTGTTGTGAGGTGGTGCTGTCAACGTGATTGTAGTGTGTCCTGTTGCATGTAGGAAATTCTGATTCTAATCTTTTCGCCTGAATTCTCGCCTTTGCGTCCTGTTCCTTTTTCACTTACCGCTTTGAGTGTGTTATTTTCCGTTCATCTGAGCCCCTCCCCAGCTCGAATTTCGAGGTCTCGATCAGACTACGAACACGTAGGCAAGTGCACTGTCCGAGGATGAGAAGTGCATCACGCTATCGCGGCGACATGAAGCGGCGTCATTCAAGATCAACTAGTAAGTGAATGTTTGGGCGCTTGCACCGCAGTGTGGGCGGGTCGGCAGGGGGG